ACTGGGCCGGCAGAAAAAAATTCAGGAAATCACGTTTGAATGAGTGCCAGGTGCTCCAGTGTTCGTTGTTGTTGCGGTACCACTGGAGGGCAGTGCCGCTTAGCAATTCAGGCATCGTCTTTGGTAACAGGTCTACGTTTAATGCGTAGACGTCGGCTAACTCCTCCAATCGTTCTGCAAACGCCAACGGGTCGCGTCCTCCATCGTACTTCACCGACCACTTGCGTACCTGGTCGATGATGGGCGCAAAGGTAACGGTCGGCACATGGTTGCCGTTGTTTAGCACGTCAGCATTTGGTGCGATGGATGTCGTTGGCGGGTGTTGCGATGGCGGTTGTAGACTTGGCGGTGGATATGCGAACTGGCTCTGCGTTGGCGGCCTAACGGGCACATTAGCGGTTGTTTCGCCTTGATTCACGGTTAACGGTGTCTTTGGTTCGCTTTCGTTTCTCCAGTGGGCCTCCTGTTCGTTGTATGCTGCTTCCATCGCGAGAAATTTTGCGTGAAGTTCCGGATCGATGAGTGCTTTGGCGGCCCATGCCGCTATCCGTTTCCTTATCTCTCGAGTGGTGCCTGTGTGCTCGATGCCCAGTTCTTGTGTGATGGACACCAACTGTTCCTTGGATACGTTGTCCAGCCACGCTATGCTCACTGGTTCTGTCATGGCTGGTTTAATTATTGGCTTCGAAATGTTCTCCTCGTATTGTACTATTTGCAGAGTCCCTGCTCGGGCGCCAATTGTCACGAAGCGTTTTCCTGTTAAGGCCCCGATGCTTCTGTTTTCTATGCTGGGGTATACTCGCCGTGCCCAGGGTCCGTTACAATAAATTTATATTGTGGGGCCTTTGCAAATAGTACTTTATTTAATTGCTGCTTATTTTCTATCACGTGGAAATTCTTAACATTACGAACATAATATCATTAACGGGACGTAAATTCCTAACGGTGCTGTTCTATCGGCGTTGCTGTATCGCCGCTCTGTCGCTGTGCGACGCCGGCGCTGCTGAATCGCCGCTCTGTCGCTGTGCGACGCCGGCGCTCTGCTTCTGTGCGACGTCGGTTCCCTGCTACCAGGCGGCGTCTGCGCTACTGTGTCGGCGCTCTGCTAGTATGTGACGTCGGCGTTACTATGCCGGCCCTCTGCTTCTGTGCGATGTCGGCGCTCTGCTATGCCAGCGCACTGTTATCCCACGATCGGGCGTCGCTGTCGCGCGTGTTCGCGGTGGACTGTGGCGTGGCGGCGCTCTACCCTTGAATAGCCAAGCCTTGTTTAGTCGCCTATCAACAAGTCGAGCGCTATTCGTTTGTAGCTGTGCGTTCACGACCACAGCTCCGTTACTGACGCGTAGACTGCTGGCGCTCCCCGTTGGAGCGCGGCTGCTGGGTGACTTCGGCGCTTCTCCGTTGGTGCGCGGCTG